AAATGATGGATCTAAATGTGAGTTATCAATTGATGGTGGTGATTATAGGAAATTTTAACCATAGGATGGCTGATTTGAGAAAAGAAATTCAATGGGTTTAGCGAGGTCAATCAACGAGTATTCGAGTCACTGCTTCCTTCGAGCTATTTGGCTTGTTTTTTTTTTTTTTAGGTTTTTTTGATTTTTTGAGATCCATGTCTAGTTTAAATGGCTAGAAAATATTGGGTATTTATAGGAAAAAATTAGAATTTTGGGCAAACATTATTTTTTATCATTGGTTTCTCTAATTTTTTTATTTTAGTATAATTTTATTTGCTTGTATTTTAATTACACCCCTTAATTAAAATCAATGAAGATCTCTTCTTTTAGTTTCCTTTAATTAGACCCAAAAATCATTTTTTTTTAAAATAACTCATTTTTTTTCTTTTCTTTTTTGTATTATTATTTTTTTTAACTTACAAATCAATTAAAGTACTTGGGGTAAAAATTAGGTCCTAACAAGGGCTATAGCCTAAGAAAATACGTAGGAGAGATCGAAAATTAATTTTATGTTTGTTGTTTGGTTGTAGGTAGGGAAACCAAAGAAAACCAAAAACTTTGAGGAAGGAATAATCTGGTTTTTTAGAAAATAAAATTTCATATGGGGATTAATTTTGAAGAATAATGGTAGGCATTCGATTTATTAAAAAAAGCTATTTTTTCAAATGGAAAATGCTAAATTTTTTGTCAAAGGTAAGATTCCCCTATTAGAGTTAGTCTAGTTTCAACTATATGTTAGTGTCATCTTTTAACACTTCCATTTTGCTCATGAGCATAAAGATACATTAGTGGATGTTTAATTCCAATAGTCTTAAACAATTTGTTTAGTGGCTAAAGTTCCCCTCCCGAATCTGTTTGCACCTCCTTTATTTTACGATCAAATTATCATTTTACATATTTTTAAAGTTGAAGAAAAGTATTATAAATATTTGATTTTTTTTTTAAAAAGGATAAAATTGTATGATTGTGGAATAATAATCAATGAAAATAATATAGTAATGGTGACCATAACTAGAAGGAGTTGGCGATGGTTCCCAAATATCACTCAAAATAGATCCAAAATTCCATTACTATAGTAGTTTAAAGAAGACAAATGATGGGATCTCGCCCAAAGAGCAAGAAATACATGGTTCTCTAAAAATCTTACTAGTGCTAGACAAAACATTATTTTGAAGCAAAAACTTTAAACTCGACTATGAGGATGTCCCAACCTTGAGTGCCAAATACGAAAGGATGCTTGGGCAAAAAAGACATAGGGATTGGAAAGAGGTGGCGATCTAAAAGGACATACAAATCAACATCACTCGATCTAGAAAGGATTAGTTTCTAAAGTACTTGATCCTTTAAACAAAAAAATGAAGGATGAAACTCTCAAAATATATTGTTGTCTATTACAAGTCTTTTGACAAATAACAAAGGTTTAGAAAGTTTTAGAACATGTAAGACATTTAAAATTTGTAAATTTTTGGTAGAGTGGGACTTTGAGTAGTACCAATATTAACGATGGGAAAAAAGCTCACCATTACCTACTTTTAGTTGATCTTGACTATGATAAGGTTCATAAGTGCTTAAAGTAACAAGATTAGGAGTGACATGATAGAAAACACTAGTGTCGGGACACTATGAGTAAGTTTGTTGGACAAAAGCACTCAATAGATACACTACCAAGTTGGCGTAAAGGGATAAAGGTGGAGAAGCAAAACGTTGTGGGTAATGAAGTGTCGTATGATTCTAGGAATGTCACAATTGACATTGGTTTCTATTATCTTGAAATTTATAATTCTACATGGTGTCGAATTATAGTTTCTTCCATAACCTTTGTCATGCCATCTCTCCCTCTAACCCTTTCTTCTCCCTCGGCCAAAAGAACCGGACCAATAAGAAAAGTTGTTACCACTTTGCTAACTAAAATTAGCAATGGGAGACAAATTTATAGGGCTAGGGAGAAGAGGTTGAGCAAATGTTGTATCTTTGTGTAGAAATTCATGACTAAGCAAGAGACTATGATGCTTAGTAAAAGAGACGAGGATCAAGCCGAGCACTTAATGTAGTGATAAGATGAAAATCTATCGGAGATAAAGGCTTACCAATAGCGAGTGAGTTCATCACTATATGATTTTGCTCTCTAAAGACATAGAGTAACGGACTCATTATCCTCTATTCGAAGTCTCTAAAGAGCCAAGTGCGAGTCATAATTTATATGCTAGAAGGAGAGGTAAGCCCACTCTCAAGAATAGTCCAAACTTCTATAGAGGTAGTATAGTTAATAGCTATTTGTAGAATCTCGGTAGAAAGGAAGAAGAAAAGGGTGCTCATTAAAAGTTGATCTTGTTGAATCCAACATTGATATTATGAGCTTATTTAGGGTAAAATACTTTTGGCATTGATAAGATGAGAAGGAGCACAAAGGTTGCTACCATTAATAAAGGAAAAAAAAGCCTTGGTTGATTGAGAATGGGCGCACGTACATGTAGGAAACAAATTAGGTAAAAGAATAAAGTAGAAAGACAAGAACAATCACACAACACAAATAGTTTTACGTGGTTTGGTAATGATACCTATTTCATTGCTATGTTAGGATTTCTTATTAGGTTTTTCAAGTGACAGCTATAAATATAAATGATATTGCCTCTATTTATAGCGTGAACAACTAGGATTATATGAAAAAAGATATTAAAGGCCTATATATCTAATCCAATATTCTATAGATCTTTCGAGAGCTCTTTATACTCGTGGACCTCCATTCATATCATTCTCCACAAATTAATAATATATTACGCCAAAACAAATAGTTAAAAAGAGTGAGCTTGATAAAATTAAAGTGGTGAGCATATGAGTGTTAGATTAAAGGATTGGTTGTGTGTTGAGTAGACATCGTGTTTGGAGGAGGTTAAGACGTGTTTTGAGTAGAAGAAATGGAAGCGTCTGAGACCATGGTATGCAGTATTACAAGAAAGCTTTGATACCAACTTAAGTCACATGATATATATATATATATATATATATATATATCAGTTACAAGAGATATATTACAAATAACATCAGTGTAAAGATACAGTCAAGAGGTAGTTAAAACTAATAATACAAAACTAATTCAAACTGTATCCTAATCTCTATTAGATTTGTTGATAGGACTGTGCAAGAGCAGAGGAGTTTGAATTGAAGATAAACTAGTACCAGAAGCTTGGGCTAATAAAGCCAAGCATTGATGGGGTTCAACTTCACACCAAATACAAATTAAAAAAAGAAAAAAAATTCCTAGAGAAATTTCTAATACGTTGCACATTTATATGATGCCACACGTCATGGTCATTGCACGAATAATTTTCCTCAGTGACTTTTAACAGAAAACTGATGAGCCAAACATCGTTTGAAAAGTCAACAGATCTACTTACTTCCTTCAACCTAAATCTTTTTGTCAAAACCTAAGAATAAGATTCCTATCAGAACTAATCCTTGACCAATGACCAGCCATTCTTTGATTTCCAGAATGATACATATAACTTGTAAATGTTATTAATTAATATGGGTTATTTCATCCACCATCTAACTTGATTTCCAGAATCCTTTTCCTCTTGAAGTTGGCTTTTGATCTCCATTTTTTAATTTCTTTCTTCTTACTAATTTTGGGTTCATGAGTGTGGGAAAAATTATCTAGGGATACGTAATTTTGTTACTAATTTTTTTTTTTTACTAATTAATGTGACATTACACAATTAGCCTTTTATCAATCATTTGATTTTATAATTATAATTATCCCATTAAATAAGATAAGATCTATTATAATTTCAGTTTTTTTTTTTTACAATAAATGTCGTAAGCAAAACTTAGTAAAACAATTTAATACCCTAACATTTTTCATTTTTCAGAGTTATTCTCCTCTCACATAAATATAGCATCCATCATGAAAATTATTTCTGAATCTAATTTTTTATGAGAAGGTAAAATACAACTGATAATTTTCAATAATTACACTTAACATATTTCTTGCTTAATTTCGTGGTTTCATCCATGCTGAGATCGGAATATGGGTGTCTTTTTTTACAGAAATCTTGAAATGAAATCGTGGTGATCATTTAGAATTCTTTAGGTTTTGTTGGTCGATATTTAATGGGAATCTTAGTTCAAGATTTGTTGCTAGTTTTTGACAAGGAAAAAGAAAAGAGAATTCAAAAACTGCGTTTCAATTTTTATTTTTATTTTTCTTCATTCTCTGCCTGTTAAATCAATGAACATGTTGTCAACCCAGGTGGGAGATCCAAGTCATTTTCCTTAACTAAATGAAATTAAATAAAACGTAAAATATTTAAGAAAAAAAGTATTCAAGATTGCACGAAAATTACCAATACTTGCTTTATGAGTTCACTTGAAGAGAGAGACAGATGTTAAAAATAAAAATAAATAAAATCATTCATCAATTGTTTATTTATTTAATATGTTATAATTTTTCTAATATTTTTATTCACTTACTATCTATCTCGGTTTATCAAGTGCCTTGAACTTGAGAATTTTTGTTAAGCCCTTAGATGTTTTTTAGTCTCTATTATGATATTGAATTGAATAGTTAAAATTAGATTTTATCTAAAAAAATTTTAAATCTTTTGGTGGGCTATTATTTCTCAATTTTATATATATATTACTCATCATCATTTATTTATTTAATATATATACGATAAGTTATCTAACCAATAGTCCATTAAATTATTATTACTCATAATATGAAGGAAATAACAATAGAAAAGTAAAATAATAATAATAACATTCAACAGTAAAAATTAACAAATAAATTACTTTAAAAAAAACACAGAAACAACAAAGGAAAAGGAATTGAAAAAAAAAAAAATTACACTCTTTACTATGATGTGGGAAGCAGCAGGAAGAGATTAATTATCCTGGAATGAGGCCAAAACTCTGCACAATCACTGTAGCACTAGCAAAACTGAGGTCTAGTCCGTCTTACTTCATTGATCCAATTCACCAGAGGAAATAGCCGGAAGTTTTCCACAATCATAATGCGTAACTCCATGAATCCTACCAAAAACATACTTATAAAATATCCCATCCCTTAAAATTTTCGTCCACCATTTAGCTCCATCTTGCTGCAACCATCCTGATAAATATGACCCTATGATAAGCCAAGCTGCACGCCACCTCCTTTCCTTGACATAATCATCTATGGCTTTGGCCATGTCTCCTGGAACAATTCCTCTGTTTTTCATAACCGAGTTGCCAATGTGTCTACCCAACACGACAGCATCTTCTAGTGCCGAACCACCACCTTGTCCTAGGTCAGGAGTCATGGGGTGCATAGCATCGCCAGCTACTGTCACATTTCCCTTGCTTAGGTTTCCAAACATGATGGCCCATGGATGCCTAAGCATCACAGGTGCCCATGTTAATGTCGAAAGATTGGCATGTCGGACCACGTCTAAGTATACCGGGGGAAAATTTTTGGAATATTTCTCAAGTAGTAATCTCTGTAATTGTTCTGGATCTCCTTCCATATTTTCCCCTGAAATGAAAATTAGCTCATAAATTTTTCCTTGAAATTATCGGACATGAACTGATCTAGTGGGAAAGAAAGAAGGGTTTAGAGTGCTGACCTTTGCAGGATAAACCAAAGTAAATTTCCTTATCATTCAGGAGAATAAAACCAGCCCTTTTGCCCACATCCACAAACTGCTGCATTTCTTGATCAAATCCATGGCCTTGAGGAAAAACTGCTAAACCTCTCAACGCTGATCGCCCCGAATAAACTGGTTCTGCTAATCCTAGCCAACGTGCCACCACCGAGTGCACCCCATCGCAGCCTATCAGAACCTTAGATTTGATTGTGGTTCCATCTTCCAAATGTACAACAGTAATGGAAGCACCACTTCCTTGTTCTTGAGTTTCAATGGCAGCTAGCTTGGAAGAGAATCGAATTGAGTCAGTAGGCAATTCCTCTGCCAGTGCCTCTAACAAAGCTTTACGGTGAACTGTCCTAGTTCCTTGTCCAGGGAAGAGGAGTTGTTGAACATCTCCAGTACTAACATCGGTTACACATCCTCTAAATTGTTGAGAAATAACACGTAGACAAGAAATTAATAAATCATCCAAAATATAGAATCAAATTAAAGAAAAGAGTTAACAGAGTGACACAATTTCTTACTTGACTAAAGGAGCATAAATGGGGGTAAGCTTGTGAGAAACACCAAGAGCATCAAGGGCACGCCAAGCATTTGGATGAGGGTTAAGGCTGTACCACTGGACCTTAATCCTTGTGACCTCTCTAATACCAAAGCTCGAACCCCCACTCTTTTCAAAGCCAATGCTGCTGCCAACCCTGCAATGCCTGCTCCAACTATCACCACTTCCTGCATCATTTCCATCTCTCCCTTCGTTTTTTTTTTTTTTTTAACTCACACACCTAATACTCTTAGCAGAATTAGTTTATTAAGATTTAAAGTTATGAACTTTTGTTATAAGAAAATACTACTACTAAGTTACAAACCCTTGGGTTTGGGTTTCTTTTATGTGTTTGTTTGCTGCCTTCTTAGGGTACGTCATGTTACTTCTAATTTATAGCCCCAGCTTGTTCTTGGGCTTCTCCGATTCCGAGTGTCCGACTTTGACCCCCACCTTGATATATATACATACCTTATCTTGCAAGTAACTAAGAATGTTGAAAGAGACATTGAAGGCGGCTGCCTTTGGGAGACCATGGGGACCTCCTAATGTCTTAAAATTCTTCACCTTGTCACTGTTCCTACGATTTCAATATCATTTTGAATATGGTAACTTCTATTTCCATCATTGCATGTGTGTTTGGACCAAGCAGTTTTGAAATTTCCAGCTGCACGGTACGCGAAACATCTAAATGATGCCACACATAATTTATTTATTTATTTATTAATAATTTTTTTAGTGTATGTTCGAAATTAAGACTTTTAAAAAATAGAAGATGCTAATTAATATCGTTTAGCTATAAAATTAATAATTAAAATTCTTCACCTTGTTACTGTTCTAAAGATTTCAATATCATTTTGAAATTGGCAACATCTATTTCCACAATTGCACGTGTGTTTGGACCAAGCAGTTTCGAAATCTCCGGCTGCACGGTACGTGAAACATCTAAATGTGGTCACACAGCATTTATATATTTATTTATTATTATTTTCAGTATATGTTTGAACTTGAGACTTTTTAAAAAATAAAAGATTCTAATTAATATCGTTTAGCTATAATATTAAATAATTAAAATTAATAATAAAATTTTATTATCGTAGATAGTGTCACACACAGTGATCTCTTCATACACATCACATTTAAAACTTTATTCATTTAAACTTTGATTTTCTTAATTTCTCAACTACCTTATTTGTATCTTACTAGGACTATATATTTTTATTTCTCTTTTCACATTTCTCACTGCTTGCATTTTATTTGATAAGTTAACCGATATTTTTATAAATCACAATAATAACTTTTTATATACTGATTGGTTTACTAACTAGTCATTTGATTTATTTTCAATAAACAACATACACCATATGTAATCATTTCCATCTATGAACAGGATTCGAATGTTCATTGATAGTATAAGATGATTTAATGTTACAAAATCTTACGATGCTGCTAACCTTCACGATGAATGTTTCTTCTATCTGTTTTATGAATAATAATAAATAAACAAATAATCTTTGGATTAGAATGAAAGAATGGTTGTCTTACACTTTGTTAATAGTTGATGAAGATTCTCAACCATTTTGTTTAATCTAATCTACAAGACTGTTTCATATTCCTTAGCCTTTTCTTCGTTTCCATATTGCACCACATGCTAAAATTTCTGATGACTTGTACTTGTGCTACAATTTTTCCTATTGGATTTTCAAGAAATATAAACATATGGCATATATCTCAATGAATTAGCATCTGTTGTATAGATATGGATATGTGTACAGTAAATTCTATTCTATGTTTGATACTCTTCCTTCTTTGTCTGTGTGAGTTGTTTCTTGTCTTTTTAGCCCTTGAATTCCAGGTCTTTTTTTCATATCACTCCCCCAAAAATTATTAACAGTTCCCTCCAAAACTTTTAAAATATTTTCATAATATCACTTAAACCTAAAAATATATAATTCTATGTCTCTATCCTTCTTCTTACCCAAAACTACCATCACTCCTGCTTCTCACTTCAAATATTGCAGTTTAATTTGCATGGGTCTGAGGCTTTGAAACCCTATTTGTGGGCATGAAATCAGAACCTTAATATGATTTGTGGTTTTAAGACTTAAAGGCCCACTTTTGTTGACAAAGTTCAAAACTTAATTGGGTTGAACAAATGGGGCTGGACCCGGATTTTTTATATATATATCCGCGGGTATGAGTGTTTTCTGAAACCGGTATGGACTCCATAAGATTAAGAGATTTTTATTAAGCAGACAAGCTTTTTCCTAGGCAAAAATGACTAATCAATTTTTTAAAAGAAATAAGAATGACATGAGTTAAAAACATTTTGGTTATTTTAGGTTGAATGGTAAGAGGTATTTTTAAATCGCTCCTGTGCTTAAATTTTATTTTCAAATAATTTTTAAAACACATTATTATATCGTCTTGATGTATAGGTTCGAAAATAGATTCTTTAATGTGTTAGCTTAAAAAAATTATAAATTAAAAGTTAAAATTTTTAATTATTCAGAATTCAAAGTTAAATATAATTTCAAAAAACATTTCTAATTAGACCGAATGAAAACTTTTTGTTTAAGTTAAGAATCCAAAAACAAATTGAACCAAATTTATATGAAACGCGAAACAGTGGCTCCCAAAAAAAAAAAAAAAAAAAAAAAAAGAGAGAAAAAAACTGTTTCTTGAGAAACAAATTGAGCCATAAATTTCTTCATGTCATCCTCTAGTGATTCTCGGATATTGGGTTATAAATGTTCTTATGGCTAATCAAATATGGCTCATATATATATATATATACTTGTAAAACTTTGTTGTCTACGGGTGATGTTTCGAGCATTCTTAAGAATGACTAAGAATTTCTTTGATGCAGTGTACCTGTACAATAACTTCTAATTCTGTCTGCTGTGGCCTTTGTTGAACGATAAAATTATAAGCATTAACGGTTCGACCATCCATTATTATTGTATAATTACTCCAAACATTTTAGGTCGGCTTTGATTATGGTAGTTGAAAGAAGAATCGGATTTTAGATTTAATTGGCAACCTAACCCTTGGATATTCTTTCATGAGGTGTATCTTGAACATGAGAAAAGAAATTAGAAATGACACAACGTTTTTTTAATTGATATTTTCTTAGTTTTAATGCATGAAAACTCGTTTGAACAAAGATTGTATATATGTGTGTGTTCTTTTTATTTTCTTTTTTCCTTGGATTCTTTTTGATTTTTTTTTTCTTTTATCCCATTGGATTTTTTTTCTTTTTAATTTTAGGAGACAGGAGTTGTCGAGAATGCAAATTGTTACTTCTAAAATGGATATTTTTTTTTCCCTTAAAGTCGCATATCTGCATCTTCCATTTTTTGTAGTCTCTAGATTTTTTTTGCATTTTAATCAAAAATATTTCGGTAAAAAAAAATTGATCGAAAAGAAAAATTGAAGATTTAAGTATTATTCAAAAACATAATAAATATAATTAAAAATATGAAGATAAATTAAAATTTTAAATTATTATATAAAGATAAATTGAACTATTTACTCTATAAAAAATTATTAAAATGACAGATATGAAGGGTTTTTTTTTTTTTTTTAATATGAAAGTTCTTTGTAGCCAAAACCGTCATAATCTGTGTAAGTTACAAAATTTAACAAAGTAGCACTCCACTTCTTACCATTTATTCTAATTGTTGATCTACCGATCCAATGTTAAAGTGAGATGATGACCAACATATTTTAGCAAGTGAAAGACACAGACAAAAGAACTTGTTTACATTTTCAAAACTGGGGATGGACGAAAACCTTAGCCATCCCTTAGCCTGGACGTAAATCCTCAATTTGTTTAGTTCAGGGTGTCAAATCAATTTTTTTTTTTTTTTTTTTAAGCTGAAGTAGATGTTTGTTTTTTTTTTTTTTTTTTGGCCAAAATTCAAGTGGTGTTAAATGGGATCCACTAATAGTGGGAGGTACAAAAACCTTAACCAACCGTCAGTTCGGACTTAAATTCTCAATTAGCTTAATTTAGAATGCGAAATCAATTTTTCTCAAGTTCAAAAGGGTATTTGTATTTTTGCCAACATTTAGATGGTGTTGGGTGGGATCCATCAACGATGGGATGGATGAAAACCTTAACCAATCATTAGTCTGGACTTAAATCTTCAGTTAGCTTAATTTAGGATGCCAAATCAAATTATTTTAAGTTGAAGAGTGTTTCCTTTTTCTTTTTTCTTTTTTTAGCCAAAATTCAAAGGGTAACTTACAATTCAGCCGATAGTAAAATGAGATCGGGATATCTAATTCACAGACGTTTATTTCTTGTTATTTTTATTATTATTATTTTACTCTCGATTTTTTGTGCCTTATTTTTTTCTCAATTTTTGAATTTCCTTTTAACATTTTGATTTTTTTACAACATTCATTACTTTTTTGACATTTTGATTTTTCATGATGCTTGTTTTTATTTTTTGTATTTTTTTTTACTTGAATTTCATAAAAATATCAAAAATCACAAAAACTCATTCAAAAAAAAAATCATAAAAAAGTATAAATTTTTAGATCTTTGTTATGAAATAATGAAGTCCATTTGAATATTCATATAATTTTTATATCCCCACTATTACAATTTTTAATGTGATTCAATTCGTCATTCATTATGAGAAATTGAAAGAGTAATGCAATTGATTCAATAATTTATATACTTCTAATTATTTATAGTCCATTCTAATTCTCTTCTCACTTTTGAAGGCTATAAATTATTAGTTTGTATACAAGTAGTTTGTAGAAATTGAGAGAATTGTTTGGAGTTGTTAGCTTTTGTATTCACATTTATCTTATAGTGAATTTATTTTCTTATCATCTTTCTCTTCTATTCTACTATTATTATTATTTCTTTTATAGTGAATTTATTTCTTCTATTCTACTATTGTTAGCTTTTGTATTCTACTATTGTTTGGAGTTGTCAGCACGAGACTCTAACCAATCAAGATAATAGACCATGAAATATGTATCTACCCGGAGACTTAATCATTTGTTTCAACCATTGGATTTTTTTCTATACAAGTGCTTTACCAAAAAGTATAAATTATTTAGACCATTAAGATGTATGTATCTAATTTATCATGTACTTTAAATCTAATGATACATAGAATTTACATTTGAAAAACTTAAATGATTTAATATATAAAATCTAATGATCTAATATATATTATCCGAAAAGTTTAAATTTTATTATTATGTTTGTTTTTATTTAAATTTTATTGTTATATTTTATTTTTATTTCCTAATATTATTATTATACGTTGCATTATATAATTTTATGATATCAAACCTTACAAAACTTGATTTTGTGCCTTTGACATTTTGGGCAATAATTATTGATCATGAGTACTTGATGCCGAGTAAATATTCTCTACTTTTCATATCTCAAATATGCTCCCGTAGTAACATATTGAGAAAAGGATTTTAAGAAATATTTTTAATCGATTTCATATTTACTCGTGGCTAAATAAAATGACAA